ATAACGGGAGCTTTTTTTTTACACCAGGAGCATTTCTTCTATAACATTTCATTTCCACTGAATTTAATTTTGTCTTTACACTGTAGCAAGTCTTTGTCGTCTATTTATTTGTCCAATTGCACTGATTTGCACTAAACTGAAGCATTCAGATTGTCTCTGCTCTGACATCTGATGACCTCATGAATGACCATTTTCTTGAGATTTTCCCGCCACTTTTTAATCATAAAATAGGCCAGGACTACGAAGCCTAATACCACCAAACAAATCAGCAACCATTCTGTTCTTGTGATGTGTGATAACTTGGCATCAGCATCACCACTTGCTGTCTGCGCTATGATTACTTCTTCTTTCGATGATTTTCCTCCCATTTTCACACTTATTTCACCAACAAACTACTCAAATACCTTTACTGTGTGAGTTTATGGCAGGATCGCCATGTAAAGTAGCAATCGGGATAAGGGTAGATTAGTAAAACTCGTCACATTTTCTACACCCAATATAATAGCATTTTGTTAGTGAGCCATACACCACAGTAGCTATATGCAATCTGTCCTACATAATTACCTTCTATACCTGTTCAGTAGTGAATATGCTGAGTCGGTTGAATATGTTATTAAACAATATTTATTATTGACCTGATTGCACTACAAATGATTACAGAGATATAGGGTGTTCAAAATCGAGATTTCTTAACTTTAGGATTTTTTTGTGTCGAAACTATTCATTATCGGTCAAAATAAATCACATATCCCTATCCAAACTTTTGATTCAATATTAACTGATATTTGATCGGAACAGATAAAGAGTGGTTCAAGATTCAGAATTCTAATCACCCTGTATCTGTTCCGATTAAATATCAGTAAACAGTAAATCAAAAGATGAAATCAGCTTTTCAGGGAGAATCTGAAAATGCAATAAAATAAAGGGTATTTTATTTGAAATAACAAAGTTGTTGCTACTATTTGATAGAACCGGCAACACTGCATCGCGGAAAATATTTCAAATGAAGAGAGCGTATTCTAAAATATAAGCATGCATATTTTCATGGATTTCTTCCGACTGATTCTCGATATAGAGATAGTGTAAGCTCGTCGTGACATACCCTGTATTAGCTACAACGATACTGGATCAGAATAAGGTAACGAGTGATTGATATAAAATAAATTCACCAATTTCTCATCCTATTCATTTCAATAAGAGAACTTTGCTTTAAAACACATATTCGACATTGCTGCATTGGTATTATACTCATAGAAATTGTAGATAATTATCTCTGTCATTTTACTCGATAATTTGGGATTTTTCCTCCTCGTTTTCATCAAATAAAAATATGAGTATTATTTCAATATATGTGAAGTAGGACAAACCATATGATTTGCCCCAAAATGTCACTGCGTTCAACAAATTTCTCTACCACGGAGCCTGAAAAAATTTCAATAGCTTGTTGGTTACACTTTGTTTGGAAAAATTTCAGAAGAGAATAAATATAGATATACATACATACATACATAAATATTGCAAGGAACATGCGAAAATAGTTGTTCAAATTATCAGAGATAGGATTTAAAGGGGAGAGCGCAATGAAAAAATTTGATTGCAGCCATTTCTTTTCTGTCAAAGAGTTAAGTTATTAAATTCTTATAATATATAAATAAAAATGTAAATCGTACTATTGGACTTAGATACATCATACTGATTATTATCATTCATAATATAATATAAGGATTCAAGATAAGATTTATAAATCAGAAGATGAATGCATTTGAAAATATTATTATGAATAAAGATAAACAGTATAAAGTATCTAAATTCAATAGTACGATTTACATTCCCATTAATATATTATGATATTTTCTATGGCATTAATGTAATTTGAATTTATTGAATCAACTTTTTGACTTGAAAATATCGCAGCAATCACATTTTTTTTATTGAAATCCACCATTCAAATCCTATCTTTAATATTTAGAACAACTATTTTCGCATGTTTCTTGCAATCTCTATGATTTAGGAATTTGTAATTTTTTTGTTTTCCAATGTAACATTGAATCTGACGTTCTTCAAGTAATTTTACGAAATAGCTCAAAATTATACATAGTGATTAAAATAAATTCGGATTCGAGTTTTTTTCGTTGCATTTTCTGAGATCATTCACCATAGTGATATATATATTTTCATATATCAGGAAGAAGAGATTCCAACGAACAAAAAACACCTCGAGTTTTTTTAGAAAGTTGTTATTTTGACGCGAGAATTTTCGATTGAAAGTTAGGGTGTTTTTTTTCGATATTAAGTCAATATTAGATGAAAAAATGAATATTTCAAATGAAAAAAATTACTGTATCTTCAGGACATGAGTAGGTGAGTTTTAGCCAAATTTCGTGAAAAAACTTCTTCTTTGCATAAGATGAAAATAAAAAACCAAAAGCTTCATTAGTTGAATTTTTCACATACATTTTGAGGTCATGTAAACAAGTGTAATCACAAAAATTGTAGGTATCTTTATTACCTACAACTTTGCTATTCAACTTTCTTCCATAGGGCTTGAAGTTTTCTGGAAATCAAGATGAATCGTTTTTTACCCTTGAAAACTCACCACTTACCATTTTCCGACCTTAGATCGCCCGTTATTTATTTTCTTTGTTATATATTTTTTTTTCTTTTCAATGAGTTTCATTCTACTATGATTTTTCTTCACATTTTACCGTTTTCAAAGGCTTTAGCACTGGTCTACTAACTGAACATATCCTTACTGAAAATGGACAACCTCTGGCAGAGTGGAATGATTTCAAAATCATAGGAGAGAAAGATAACAACCAAAAGAAAAAAATCAAGGAATTCCCTTGCATTCTTCTGAACGGACACAATATCATTGCTTCCTGTTCAGTTGATATAGATAAACATGGTATTCCCTACTGAAAACAGAACATGAAAGTGGTAGATTCAGGATCAATAAATAAACTCATCTTGTAACGACTCATCCATATGCCAACATCAGTATGTTACTGAAAAGTGTCAAACTAAAAGGATAGAATTCTCAACGTCAAAATATATTCTGCATTTTTATGTTGAAAACTGGAGCAGATTCGTTTCCGAAACGTCCGAAGATAAGTGAAAATTCGAAATTTTTCCAAAATTTCTATATTTCCTTTCTTCAAACACTTTTCCGAACGAAGTCTCACTGAAAAGCTATTGGATTTTTCTTTTAGGCCATCTGATGGAAACAATTTTTGAACGCAGTGACATTTTGGGGTAGCTCATCTGATTTGTCCTACTACACATATTTTGAAATCATTTATAATGTAAGTACCACCTCCTCGATCAACATACAGACAGTATTTACCACTATCATATTCTTGATGTTGTTAGAATGAAATTACTTAACAAAATTCTCTTGGGATCTCTGAACAGCTACATTGTTACAATATCGACAAGCGAAGGAAAATTGAAAGATTGACCGCCTTACCTATAGGAAGATTAATTCAAATTTTTTGAGCATCCCCGTAGATATAGTGGCAACCACGGTTACAAGTCACCCTGCCCAAAAATGTATTTCTGTTCGATTTTTGTTGCTCAAGTAATGATTCAACTGCCAGAAACCAGTCATATGAACGTGAGTGATTAGTGACTAATCAGATTATTCAAATTTCATAGACGTACCGTTGGAAAACGATGAAGGAACTTTCATTGTAACTATATCTACGAATAAGCTCAAAACATTAGGATCAATCTTTCCATAAGTAAGTCGAGTAATCTTTCAATCATATATTCTGTCAAGCTCGGAAAATCAGGATTAATCTTTCTACAGGTAACTCGATTAATGTTATATTTTTCAGAAAACTGATACATTTTCTTGACATGGAAACTTTCTCTCAACGTATGAAATGAAAAACAAGCTATAAAGAATGAATTGATAATTATAACTCATTTTGTCACAATATCACATTCACAGTGTAGAAAATGTATGCCTTTTTCGATACACATCATTGTTGAGCTAGAATTAGTGAGTTCGTATGATATTTCTCAATTTATTATCTAATACAAGAGCTATTCATATTACAATTCAACAGAAAAATCCGAATAGGTACTTATTTGGTTAGGTCAGATGACATTTTACTTAGGTTACCTATTGAAGGGAGTCGGTTGATGTTCTCCATTTCAAAATTCAACCAATACCAGTTGATCCAAAGTTATTAGGCCTGCATATATCTGGGTTATCTAACATTTTGAAAATTTAAAAAAATGGGGAATTCATAAGGAGCAAAAGCTTACGAAAATTTTTGGATTAAATCACTCTTCTGTTGAACAATCTACTATAAGCCACCCCTTACTTGCAATCTCATGTTTTTTTTTTGTTCATCTTATAGAACTTATTATTCTCAATTTGACCATACATCACGATCGATTCAGCGTACGTTATAGTCAAAACCATAAATTAGTTAATATTCGTGTGGGCTTCCTATACTTTGACATCCAGTTATTTCTTGGAAAAACAGAGCTGCACACGAATCTGAATAGGCTAGCATGTGGTAATAGTCAGTTCAATAAATTAGTCAAGGAGAAGTCGATATCTTCCAAATATAAAATATCGAATTGATTTAAAATATCCGAGAGTGACTGACTATTTAGCTCAATATTTAGGCCAATGAAACAGGGATTTGAAAATGAAAGAGTCTGTGAGATGAACAAAAAAAAAATGGGAGTGCAATCTGAAAAACCAAAGCAAGGAGTGAAACCTATTAGATTGTTTCACATGAGGGTGATTCGATTTCATTGTCTTGAAGTGCTTCTGCTCCCATATATTCCACAATAATTCTTTTATTTTTTCTCGTAAGAAAACCTAGATATCTGCTGGCCTCAATGATCTGGGACACCTGGTTTAGTCGATGTATGTCAAACACGATTTGGTGTCAAATGTTCAAATCACAAAACAGTGTATCTCAGCGCGAAAATATTATACTGTGTATGAGAAATCAGGAAAATGAATATTGTGTGAATACCTTAAATTGCATCCATTGCCCAATATTGGCTAGGCATAGTCCAGGAACAATCGTCAACAAGAAAATACTCAATATCATTGTAATATATCTCTGGAATGAAATAATTCGAGAAAATACAATGGTAGTTATATCAACGCATTTACTCACCTGTAGTTTTGGATATTCATTCAAACAGAAGCCTCATTGGAATCATTGATTTTCAGGAATATGGAGATAAGACATATCATTACTCGAAATTGATATCATTAATTGTATGCTCCTTAGTGTTATCGTTGCAATAAAAAATAAAGTCATTATCTTGAATTGGGCATTGCATGACAAGAAAGATAATGGGATACTCTAGAGAACAACATACATCGGTCAATCGTTACGTTGTTTCCAGTAGATGAAAATTTTGATTTCTTTATCTTGTGACGTATATAATGAACTGAAAATTCTCATGATTCAATAACCTCTACTATGTAGCCACACTGGAATGGCGTCTATAGGATCGCTAAACTGTCATAGTCATTTTTGTTCTCTTTGGTCTCTTGTGAAAATCATGACTTCAAAAGACCTTCTTTTTCTCTCCAAAGTCACGTTGACGGCAACTTCTACACGTATATACGTGAATAAACACGTGAATTGCACTTCAACTCGGTTATTATTCTCGAAATATTTCATCTGAATGAGTTGTTTGACACTGCAATATTGAAAACAAGTGTTATCTATTGCGAATAACGATTGATCTCTTTGTTATCATTTCGTGATTCGAAGTAGGTGCCCAGGGAATCCCACAAATCATAGCATTTCTTGTTCAGGCAGCACAAGAGTCGTCGAATCCATTTATTCCAACATCTCACTATTTACAGACGTAGGTACGCTCAATATAAATGAATCGGTCATTTCGAAAAGAAACAAAACTACTTTACTTGTTCAGGGTTATCCATCGAGAAGGCCCACCCCCATATTTTCGTTATACTTTCACTTAGAAAGAAAAAATAATATGCGGAAATTTAATGCCGCAATGAGGCATTCATCAGAGGTTATACAGGGTGATTCTTAAGAGCGTGGCAAACCACAAATCAATTTTTTTAAATGGAACACCTTGTTTTTCATATTTTTTTCGAGATCTGTGATCTTTTGCGATCACAAATATATAAATATACAGTATGTTATCTTTCACTGTTTTTCGTTAATCACAATTTTCCTGGTCCCAGAACAACATTTTGTGTGGGATGGCATCTTCATCGTGCAACTATAGAGTTATCCATGATTGAGAATGTATTCGACTCCCGTTATTTTTTTTTTCATCTATTGGAGCGCACGGAAGGAAATTCCTATAATGTTCGAAGACCATCGAAAATCGTGCATACCTAGGGAGGATAGGGAGATGTGGTAGGTGTTGAAATTTATTTTGAACTTTTGGAGGTTATAAGTCCTTGGGAATTCTTCCATTGGCAAAGAATTCTAAAGCTTCGCCGTTACATGTATACATTATCAAATTCAAGCAGAGACATCGTGACCACTTATTGAAAATAATCAAAAACTTTTCTAACAATTATTTAATCATAACGATCATGAATATTATATTGATTGTAACGAATTCAATCTAACAGACAAAATTTAAATTACAGAACTCATATACCTAACTACAAAAATTGCTCAAAATGCTGCCCTTGATGGTCACAGCAAAGCATATATACCTTTTCTCCAGAATGATTATTGATTTTGCTATCATTCCCGAGCGCTCCCTATTCAAACAATCAATTTCTTCGATTATCTTATATTTAAGTTCGTTAATATTCTCAGTTGGTTCCATAGCAGTAGCGCCATAAGAAAGTATCTAGTGGCGTCAGATCTGGACTGTTTGCTGGCCATGAAATAGTTCCAAACCTCCCAATCCATTCATGGTATTGGGCATTCAGAAACTCTCTCACGTCCCTTGAATTGTGCGGAGGAGCCCCATCTTGCTGCCATATAATATTTTGAGGTAGGTCGGCTTGTCGTAAACAATTTCTTATTTCATTTGTTAGGAAATTTTAGTAAATTCTTCCATTCAGATTGCCATTGTATAGAATGGGGCCAATTATTCTCTGGTCAAAAAGACCACACCAGACGTGTACCTTCTCTGAACTTCAATTTGAGAAATTTTATTGGGATTCTCTGACGCCCAGTGTCTACTATTCTGTCTGTTGAATATTCCCGCTGTTGTGAATGTAGCTTCGTCGGTCCACAATATATTTTTAAAAGAGTTAGGATCTTCTTCTAACCTACCAATCATATACCTACAATAATTTAATCTATTATGTATTTGAGCATCGCTCAATTTTTGCACTGGCATGATTTAATATGCTTTGAATTTATTGATTTTCAGAGCCCTGTGTATGGTGCCATAGGAACAACCCAAAGTCCGCACAGCACTAGTCAAGGAACAGTTGGGATTCTCTTGAAAATATAATAAGATATTCAACTCGCGCTCTTCGTTACCCTGAAACATTTTTTTCTTAGTGGTTAGGTTTCCAGTGGATTCAAGTTTAGTGTTCAATTTTTGAAAAGTTCTTCTATTAGGTAAAGCTCGTTCAGGGTATAATCGGGCATATTCTCTCCCAACTAGAATGTTCAATCAGAAATTATATATTTATCTGATGAATTTTGTAATTGTTTACCCTCTGAAGCGTTTTTGTTATTTTTTATGTATGAAGACATTAGGTGTGTTCCGTTTCTTGCATCAATCGCATCGCTACTGCACTGAAAAATAAGCGGTCCGTTTCCTCACTGGTCATTTTTTGTATCGTGTATCAAATTGGAAACGGAACGATTTCTACTGTGCAGTGACAGTGTATTGACACTATTGACAGGTGTTGACTATTTGAAAAATTTTAAAATTAATGTGCATTTGTGCTTTTCAGTTGACGGGAAGAAAGAAGCGGCTCAATTTTATTTATGTACGCAATAATTATTATAAACCGCTAGGAATTTGTCATCAATTCATATGAAATGAATACTGTTCATAGAAATTCGCTATTGTTCACAATCGCTAGTGAATTTTGGGAAGACGATAGTACTGATTCTCAATCATCCTCAAGCAATAGTTCTGCAGAGGATGATAATATGCTCTTGGATATGATTTTGAATATAGAGGAACAAGAGTGTATTTCCGCCGTTTTAATGATTGCTGAAACAAGAGGAAGGCAACCCAAAACAGAAACCATGTGCTATGTGGAACGAATAATTCCAGGGTACAATGAACCAGTTTTTAAGCAACATTTTAGGTAAATCATCAAATCTTCAAAGGAGCCATAGTTTATATATATTTTTAAACCCTGCAGAATGTTTCCAGAAACGTTTGAGGATGTTTTAAGATTAGTTGGACCATCCCTCAATGCAAACACTGTCTTTCCTGGAGGAAGACAACCTATTGAACCAAAGAAGCAGTTGTTTGTGGCATTATGGTTTATGGCTACACCAGATTCATATAGGTAATGCATTATATTAGTGCTATGTAGCAACAAGTAATTCTGTGTTGTATTTTACACAGGTCAATTTGTGTCAAATTTGGAATAGGAAAGGCAACAGCATTTAGAGCTTCGAGACGAGTGACTTATGCTCTACATTGCATTGCCCCAAAAATCATCAAGTGGCCCGGGAACCAAGTGAACTTCGTTATGGAGGTATTTGAACAGAAAGCAGGATTCCCAAACGTCATTGGAGCTATAGATGGATGTCACATAAAAATACGTAAACCAAAAGTTGATCCTATCTCATACATTAACAGAAAAGGATTCTATTCAATCAATTTACAAGCAGTATGTGACTCCAGGCGTTTGTTCACTCACTGTTTCGTTGGATATCCTGGAGCTGTTCATGATGCACGGGTATTCAGAAACTCTCCTGTAGCAGATTTCATGAATCAGCCACAGAACTATTTTCCAAATAATTCTCACCTTTTAGGAGATGCAGCATATTCCCTGCATACACACTGCATGGTACCCTTCCGAAATAATGGACATTTATCACAAAGGCAGAAAAATTTCAATTACTGCTTATCTGCAACAAGAGAGACAATAGAACATGCCTTTGCACTTTTGAAAGGGAGGTTCAGAATTCTATTAGACTGTTTGCCACTCTGGGACATAAGCAAGATTCCTGAGTTCATAATTGCTTGTTGTGTTTTGCATAATGTCTGTATTTTAAAGAATGATTTAATTGAGTATGTATTTGTGCCTGGAGAACGAGAGCAGGATGTAGTGCACCCACATCATCTAGTGAATAATGTAGGACATGGAAAGAGGAATAGTATTATGAATGAACTAAGAATGAGGAACTGATTTTTTTTAATTTGCGTGACCTTTCTCAAGATTGTCAATGAAATTTTCAGGCAATGTTCAAATTTCACACAATTTATTACCTCAGCATGAAAACACTTGATTTAGTGTTCAGGTTCACAATCATTCAAAAAAATCAATTCATTTCTTTAATGAATTTCAAAGTAGTAAAATCCAAAATTCTCTATTTTGTAGAAATAAAAATATTTTACTAATTGTTTGTTTCTTTGTTGATCTTTCTGGTAGAAAAATTTATAATTGTGGACCTCACACACTGTATAAAAACGACGAGATCAGAACATTGTTTTAATCACCAACATTTTGAAAAACTAAAATTATGTCATGGAATGGTAACATAGAAACTTAAAATATAACTTCATTGTTCTAATTAGGAAAATACAACTTGAGCATATGAAAATTGAATTATTTCTGTATTTGTTTTTGTAAAACAGAAAACAATGCATTCTTGAAATGCAGGTTTTCTTTGTGCATCCTTTCTTTCAACTCATTTTTCTCTTTTTCCCTTTGTCTTCTCTCCTCATCTCTCTTTTTTTGATGTTCTTCCATTTTACGTGTTCTAGTTTCACTTTCAGTTTTGACATGTTCAATGAAACTTTCCAAAACAAGCTCCACTTTTCTTTTTTTAATTCCTACACCACCTGTATGAAAAACACTTCCATGAATTTATGACTGATGTAAAAACAGCTACTATACACTTTTTGAATCCAACTTTTCGAAACAGAACTCATCCATTCTTTGGTTTGAACATAA